CAGCCGCAATTGCGTCCCGACTTTCGAAATAGGTTACTTTAAAGAGACGGAAGCAGCTCGGGATCGGACGCCTCGTCCACCTACCGTGCCGGAGCGTGCTGGCTGCCAGAAATCGATGCGGCAGCCGCAATTGCGTCCCGACTTTCGAAATAGGATACTTTAAAGGGACGGAAGCAGCTCGGGACCGGACGCCTCGTCCACCTACCGTGTCAGCGAGCCTAGCGAGCCTTGTGGAAATCGCTATAACTTCCTTATCGCGCCATATTGAGGGATGAAAGTGGTATCATCTTCGTCAAGGCGTAGAGGGTTCCAAAAAGCACGAAGTCATTTTGAGGACCACTTGATCGCGGGAGTGTCTTTAATCTCCCTTCCCGGAGCTGGTATGCTAGCAGACGTTAGATGGACATCCATAATTCCCTTGCCCTCGAGACGCCGGTGGACCTAAGTCAGTAGACGCTAGAGGACGATGGCAGACTCTAGCTCGATATCAATACCTTCCTAGTCGCTGACGCTCGGAACGCTGGTGGATGCTGCCGCAAAATATGAACGCAGCGGTAAAGATCACGGCGAGCAGCGAAACCCAATGCGGCTCGATAACCTGGTCGGGAGACTTGCTATGCTCTAGGAAATAAGGATATAACCATGAAACGAAAGCATCATATTTTTTGGAAGGTGTATTTGCAGACCTGTTCTTCCGACCGCACATTCAGTTCTTCATGCGAAATTAAATCAACTAATCGCTCCACGGAAAGATAATTGAACTCCTCGTTTCCACTGACTTCCTGAAATAGTTTTTTGAACATCATTGATAAAATTAAGTTCTGAGTAACTTATTAGAAACCTGGAAATTTCGGACGATATACATATCAGCCCATTTAAGCAGATTCTGGCAAGAGTAGGTATCGGCAATCGTTCGAATTCTCAAACAATTTGACAGGATCCAATTTCCTCTTGAGAAAGTCACAGCACAAGTCCTACAAGTGAAAGCTTCAATAATTCTGACCTCCTGTATAGTTGGATATTCTGACGAGGCGAACCATTCCAGATATTGACAAATTGTCAAATTGTAAAATTGACAAATTGTAAAATTTTGTCGCGCGCAAAAGTAGTTAAGGGGTTAGCAACTACGGCTACGGCAACTCTGGTGGTCTACACTCTTGTCTTGTAACAGGTACATCTTTAGGAAGATCCCATGACAGGAGGGGAGTTTCCTAACGATGCTGTACCCCGAGCGCGAGCTACTTTTTTGGTCGATGGGGGCAGATCGTCCCTGGTTATGATACTCAAGTTGGTGATTGGATGAGTTCTGGGCTAACTTGAATGCACATTGTGTGATCATACGTTCCACCTGAAAGGAGAGATTTCTCATATGCAAGAACTACTCAAGAACTACTCACGGGCGTCGCACTTGGTTGTTGGGGCGGGGAGGTCGTATTTGTCGTTGACAACATTTATCCGAGCCGCGAGAAGAACTCCAGTTGTTGCCTTCTCCCGACTACAGGGGGAGCCAATAAAAAAAGACACTTTGGCCGAGTCACATATCAGTAAAGAATTACGCAGCCCAGAGAGAAGATGTGGATACGAGTACCAGGGCGGAAGATACCCAAGATGTTCCTCGATAAGCAGGAGCAGGCTCTCGTCCATCACCTTCATGTACACCAAAATATGAAGTCATCTCCAACGCAGCCTGACTGGAGAAGGCCTATGGAATTCACGTCACCTCCAAACAGCTGCGAAACTTCTTGTATGGAGTCACCCATGGACAGCTACCTGGAGACCGGCACTCTTGATCTGGAAGACTCCAACATCGAGCAGCTCCGACAACGTCTACGGTCCAGGATATCATCTTCACCGCAGTCGCCAAGGCGCGGGTTGATGGTATGGACCGGAAGTCCTGGAATGGAAAGACCGATATTTTCTTCGTGGACCCCGGACTGAAAGTGAACGCTGACGGTTACATCGAACAGCTCGAGGAGAATATCCTGCCTTCATGTCGTCGCCTGTACCATCTTGGAAACTTCGTACTGCTACAGGATTGGGTGCCACCACATGGAATAGGCGTTGGAAAAACTCTCGCCTACTTGGAATGGAAGGGCGTTGAGTACCTGAAGAAGACGGAATATCCAAGTGTGTCACCTGACCTGAACCCCCCCCTCGATTACCGGGTTCGAGCGGAGCTCAACAGGGTGGTCTACAGTGGCGGAAAAATCAACGACCTCGCTGAACTCCGGCACCGAATCAGGCAGAATCTCTCGATGGCGTTCGTCCAGAAGGCTATGGCGCTATGGCGGAGTATCATGATAGTGTACAATGTGTTGTTGAATATGATGGTGAAAATGTCCAATCAGAATTTAATAAAGTGTAACTTACATTGCCTTGAAAGTCAAGGAAGAAAAGTGTCTTTTTTATTGCTTCCCCCCCACCTTGTATAGACCACCCCAGTTAGTGCTACCGGTTTCTGGCATTTGACATACGGCCCCAACCCAGCCGAAGCCAGTTTCTTGAGAAAAAAATAGGAAAGTGGAAAATTGGTGGAGAGTTGAAGAATTTTGGATCATGGTAGGTGTGATAAGAAAAGGTACCCACATTGGAAGACAAAAATTATTGGGTGCGATGATACGATGTGGGAGTGCCGCGCTGACACTGCCATTTCATCCTTCCCGATACTGTATCCTGTCTGCTAAACCTGTGATCTGGCAAAGGAAAGAGATACAGACGTGGCGCCGCATGGCAGCTCTCAATCTACTATCTATTATCTATTTGTGCACTTTTGTCAGGACAAAGTCGACTTTTCGTGCTGAAGCTGCTTAACCTGAACTTCGTTGAACTGAAGACGGCAAGCAGCTGGTAGAATACTGAGCACATTATCGTCGGTTATCTTTGTCAAACCTGAGTAGCAGAAATTTATAAGAGCTTCAAGCGTAGAGGCTTCCATATCCGACGATTTCTATTTCACCTAAAAAAGTACCCGTAAAAGGAAGTGCCACGAAATCTTTGGTAATGAGAATTGGGTCGGGATATACAGCCGCAGAAAAAAAAAACTTGGAACGAGCCGAAGTCGAGCGCTTTTTAAGAGCTTTAGCTATAAGTTACAGATTGTACCTGAAAACTTTGTCTGCTCAAATGAAGTACGCCTAAAAAAATTACTATGAAGAGAGGTGGGTGATTGAAGATTGAATTCGTTGCATGGTCAGAATTTCGAAACTTACTGCGATGAGGCACCTTGAGGAGGGGTGGGGGGATGACCTGCGGGTTGAGGGCTGCCAATGTACGGAGGTCGACGGTTTTTCTCAGACGAGTCTCCTACTAATCAACTTCCGACGCAAGCCCGAAAAACTCGGTTGGCTCGGGCGGGAGCTGATCCGGGATTTGAACCCTAGACCGCGCTTGTGGTAAGTGGCGCTACTTGCCACTGCACTATCTGCACTCACGAAAGTTTTTGATATTGTTCGCTGAAACATCATATTCTTACCTTCCGGCCCTATTACTAGTGTTTAAGAAGCGATTAGATACCTCAGAACAGGATGAAGTCCCGTTCACGTTGAACTGCATCTACATCATTACAGATCGTTTGTTACCAGGCCCGTATGGAAGAAGGAA